CACAACATATTGCTAAGGACCCAGGCAACTGGATATGTAAATAATGACCTCCGCATTGTGGTAGAAACTACTAGCATATTAAGTATATTATATTAATTTATTCACTAAACACAAAGTTGTAGTTGAGGGGTTTTAGTAATAAACTACAAAGACTACGGAGTATGACGACAATATGAATAATGGCATTATAAATGAAATTGCTGTTTAAACATTGAACTAATTTTTACATTTAAATAATATGTTGTCAGGCTAATGCCATGTACTTATTAAGACCCTGTTAAATAAAGGTAAGAATCTGATGGGAAAACATCTGAAAATACCAATGCATACCTGCTAAGTGTCCCTACTCAGGAGAGAGAGTCCCTATTTTGTGCCATAAATCCCTCTTTTCTATCCTAATGATCCTCCTTTCTAGTGTATAACAGAGCTCCACAGCAATAATACTCCCAATAAAGGTGTTTAGAAATCAAACTGTGTTAATAAGAATCATTGTTCTTGTTCTAAATCACATTTCAGTTGTATAAATTGTTATTAGTAAGTCACCTTAAATTTTCTCGACCCGGGGTTATGGCACACTCCTAAAACTAAAGTGTTCCCTTTGGTTGTAAGGTTAAGCAGTATTTTTGCTTGCCTTTTGCTCCTTTGTAAACTTTGAGTGCTCCCATTCATGCAAGCACGGTTTATGTTTGACTTAATGAGAAATGTACAGAAGACAAAATGGTGGTCAATTGAAAAAGGACAGACAGTTGTTCTGCCTGCAGGTAGCCATCGTCCAGTCAGTAGCCCATCCCCAATACAGAGACTAAGATAAACACTTTTAGTAATCTGATAAATATAAATATACCAGGTAAACGAATGCAGAGTCCATCCAAATGAATATCCCAATGTTCCCACGGATTTTTAATGATAGTGTTAATGACGCCATTTTGGTTTATTTTGGGGGTAATATTGGAGCATTATCTAGTGATGTATTTTTGTATTGATACATTTTACACTTAACATTTTCCATTACCTTTGCTTTTATTTTAATAATTATATGGCTCAAGTGAAGGCCCTCCGTTAGATACAACCTGCTATATAAAATATGTAATGTGGTGAGAGCAATATGCACCAAGTGATCCAAGGAACAGCTATGGGGATCAGGTTTGCTCCCAGTTATGCTAATTTATTCATGACATATTGGGAGGAGATGTTTGTCCTCCCTGCCGCAGATCTGGGAGCAAACCTGGTTATATAGACGACATTTTTATTATGTGGAAAGGAGATGAGGATTCCCTGACCAAATTTTTAGATTTTTTAAATTCCAATGATTGGAATATTAAACTTGTCTCAAACATTAGCAATCATAGCATCACTTTTTTGGATCTGGATATTTTTATTGAATCAGACCAAATTAGAAGTAAAACTCATTTTAAGAAGGTTGATGTTAATAGTTATATAGATTTACGTAGCTGTCATTTTAAACCTTGGCTTAATAATGTGCCAAAAGGTCAGTTCCTCAGATTAAGGAGGAACTGTATGGATTTTAAAGATTATCAAAATCAATCTTGTAATTTAACACAACAATTTATAGATAAGGGATATGATCCAATTTTTATTGAAATTGCCAGAGATGAAATAGGTAGTAAAGATAGGAGTCAACTTTTGAAATATAAAAATAAGGGAAAAAAAAGAAAAAAAGATTACTTTATTCCTTTAATTCTGAATTTTAGTACTAATAATAGATCAGTATGTAACATTTAAAAAAAAAATTGGCATGTGTTAAAGGAAGATAAAGACCTTTTACCCTATTTATCGGATAGACCCCAATTCATTTTTAGAGGAGCTAGAAATTTTAGACAGATTTCAACAAAATGTTTTCTGGATAAAGAAAAGCAGGATAAAGGCAATTTTTTAGATGGACAAGTAGGTTTTTATTATTGTGGAGACTGCACTGGATGTAGATTAAAAAGAAATACAAACAAAAGTATAAAAACCTTTTCCTCTAGTAGAAATTCAGAAGAAGAATATAAAATACATTCACATATTACGTGCAATACAACCAATGTTATATATCTTTTAACCTGTCCATGTGGTTACCAATATATTGGTAAAACGATTAGAAAGTTAAAAGTTAGAGTGGGTGAACACATTAACAATATAAAGAAAAAATGTGTTAATCACAGTGTTTCGAAACATTTCTTAGAATACCATGAGGGTAACCCAGAAGGCCTTAAATTTATTGGCATAGAGAAGATTAAAGTACATTGGAGAGGGGGTTGTAAGGAAAATATTTTAAGTAGAGCAGAAATTAGGTGGATGTTCAACTTAAACACTTTAACCCCTGAAGGATTGAACGTAGATTTTGAAATTGCTTCTTTTTTATGAAAAATTATTTTTAAATTTTTCCCATGGTATATGTATATTAATATATGTTATATATTTTATAGGTCATATTTTATGATATTTATAATAAATTGTTATCTGTATATAATATATATTTTATATGATATTTATAATATATTGTAATGATTTTTTCTCTCTTTTCCCTTTTCTGATATTATACTTTATTTCCCCTGAGCATAACATTCAAGTTTACAAGATTTTAATATACAGAATAATACTTTATCCGTAGAATGGATGTTTTTCATGTTTAATTATATTTAATGGACATGTGTGGTAAAGACTTTTTTAGAACGGACATGTGTATTAAAGAATATTGAGGGAGGATGTTTTCGCCGGAACCCGGAAGCTCATAGGACTACAAAACAACATGACCGCTGACCCGGAAGTGTTTTTTGGATGTATGACACAAACCGGAAACTGGAAGTCAGCTGACCGGGCATAACGACCGGAAGTGAGCCGTCGAGAAAGCCGAGCGCGCCTTTTTTAAAGATATTTAAATGAACAATTTGTGAAGAGATGTAGCACTTTGATAAAGACCATTATCGGTCGAAACACGTTAGTGCAATATATGTGGAGATTCCATTATATGCTTTTTTATGCTATCTATGCAAAATAAAGGTTTATTTGTTCCTGTATTTCTCTACCTGGTATTAATCAAGGAGAAACTTCTGAAGGAACCATTTAAACCTGTTTGTCATCACTTTGGTCTCCAGAATATTTTGAAAGGCGCTTGTAGTCTGAGCCACTCTTTCAGGCTCAGCACCACGTGAGTGGGCTATTTTATATTTTATTCAATTTGTTCTTCATATACAGGCTATACTATGTTATGCACTTTATATTTTTAGGACATTTATGTGAAAATTCAAGATAAAGGGTAACATTGCATGCCTTTATCTTGTATGCTTGTACACTTGGTGCATATTGCTCTCACTACATTGCATGTTTTATTCTGCTATTTATTAATTGTGTGATTTGGAGTGACTCACACCTGGTCATTCTGAGCATTCAATATTTTGCTTTTCTTTTATTGTGTTTTATATACAACCTGCTATATAACCTGTTATTTATTAACCTGATTTAATCTCTTACAATGATGGTACAATGATGAAATACAATACAATGTTTTCTGCACACGTTGCATCGGCTGCTATTATTCAACAATTGCTTTTTACATCTATTACTCAATAAAACCCTCCATATAACTCCACCTATAACTCCTCCTATTACTCCATATAACACTTCCTGTAACTCCTCCTATTACTCTATATAACCCTCCCTATAACTCCTCCTATTACTCCATATAACCCTCCCTATAACTCCTCCTATTACTCCATATAACCCTCCCTATAACTCCTCCTATTACTCCATATAGCCCTCACTATAACGCCTCCTATTACTCCATATAACTCCTCCTATTACTCCATATAACCCTCCCTATAACTCCTCCTATTACTC